AGATAGCAATAGGCAGCTTTTGATACAACGTTAAATACGGTGCAGTTGTATACATTGAGTCTTCTTTTATAAAAAAATAGGGAATCGTTTCCGCATGGTGTCTGCAAAACTGCCTGCATGTCATAACAACAAATTATTTTGTTAGCATCATTTTTGCATGTTTCTATGTCCGATTTCTTTTCCAATCTGCACAAATCTCTTTCTTTTAAATGTTTTTCATAAGTGTACTTCAGTTGTAACTTATCATCACCTACAGCATTTTGATAAGACAAACAAATTGAACACTGATCCTTCTTGGGCTTGTGAAATGCAATGTTAAACTCATTTCGAAAAATGTGTTCATAAGTTCCTTGCTTGATGATAGGTTTGCTATTCTGATGGCACCATTCCTTGTATTGTCGATACATCATAGTCAAATTTAAGTCACCATCAAGGTATTCTTTTGTAGAACTTGCCCGACAGTAATGAGACTCTTTTCTCGGATAGGAATTTATATGTTCCCTTGCACCATCTTTGTCAGCCTGTGGTAAACATCTACCGGTATTACCATGGCGCCCTCTACGATCTTCTGGTATTATACCCGAAGCTTTCTTTTTATTTACTGTAGATAAAAAAGAATGTCCTATGTCCAACGTTGCCATAAAAAATCGTTTGCATACTCGAATTTCCTCTGAATTTATTGTAAACTTGTATGATACATTCAGGGATCGCTTACTATCTTCCCTGTGTAGCGAATACTTTGGCTTTACAACTCCCATACAACTAGCAACAAAGTAGCGCTGTCTTCCAAGGTCGCCAATGCCCCAGAAATCATTGAATATGTTTAACCTTTTTTCTTCATTAATTTTTTCTGTACATTTCAATCGACAATCAGTTGAACATGGAGGTTTTAGTTTTTTAGCAGGTATTGTGTTTCCTTTAACTGTTTGGTAAGACTCGCCTGAGTTCTTCAAACTTTTTTTTACATTTTTTTGCCATTTTTCAGGCTGTCTCTTCTTCTTTCTTGATCGTTTATCATTGGTTTTTAAATCTCCACCTTCTATCAAATCTGAATCATGTGGGCCTACGTTATTCAATTCGTTGTTTGTTTCGGCGTCCACCACAGGTATATCTACCTCTTGATCCAATTCACAACCTATAAAAATAAGGAAATAATAAAAACAACGTACAACTCTTGCCTAGTTACCATCTTTAAAAATATTTAAAAGAGTAATTCCTAATTAATGTAGTTGGTACCTAAATCTTCGCAATCTGTTAAATCTGAATCTAGTCGGTCGTTTCTATCCACTTCTAACACAGATTGATCTGGTTCTTGATCCAACTCACCACCTATAAAACATAAAAAAACAATTCAAACTTGATTCAAACCAACATACCCACAACACAAACCTACTTGTGTTCTTAAAAAATATTTATATAAGATACAGGCACTCGCCTAGTTTAAGGGGCAGGGTCTCAATACTCTACCTGTATATGTACATGATGTACTGTTTTTGCACAATAAACCATTTTCATTTTCATTTTTCATTTTCATTTAAAGGAGTAATAATTATTAATCGTATGTTAGTAACTACCTAAATCTTCGCAATCAGTTAAATCTGAATCATGTTGGTCTAGGTTATCCAAGCTGTTGTTTCTTTCCATTACAACCGCAGGTTGATCTGGTTCATGATTCAACTCACCAACTATAAAACACAAGGAAACCAGTAAAACAAAGTTAGTACTTAAGTACCTACAACTCGTTCTTATACTTTCCTAAAAAATATGTAAAGAAGTAATAATTATTTAAAGGGGTAATCACTATTTTAGTACCTAGCATAGGCTCAGCATACTCCAGAAATACAGTAGATGTCGCTTTAAAACGTTTATTTGTAATCTCCTCCTGCTCTATAGACCTCTTTTCTGTTATTTTATAAGTTGTATCATTATTTTGAAGACCTATGTTAGGTAAGTTTAAGTTATTTTCTTCATCCATAACAATTGACTGCAACAGCTGATCTGATTCGATACCTGTAAACAAATAAGTTTTTTGTAATATTTTTTTCAAATCGCAAATCAAATACTTATCAGCCGAATCTGTTCAGCTGTTTTTGATTGCTTCGACATCACTACTCGCTAAGCACATCCCTAGTAGTATCGGAACCTGTCACAAAATCTATTATTATATATCTACTTACAAAAAAACATTTCTTGCCCACTCATTTTCTTATCCGGTTCGGTCTGATGACCTTCTTGACCTTCGACAACATTAAACGTAGGATTTTCTTTACGTACAGTATTTAATTTTAATTTTGTCTCTGGAACAAATTCCACCACACAACCACCACCTAGTAAGCATAAAAAACCTTACACTTTAAGCTATAGAAAGCTCGATTTTTGTCAGTATTTCCTTTTTTACATAAATTATAATTTATGTTTTACACACGAAAATACGTAGTTAGCTTAGAATTTGGTAAAGGTACTTAGGTTACCTTTTATGGAAGTACGGAATAACCTAAGTACTACTCTGACAAGCTTAAGCAAAAATAGACCCATACCAGTAGGTATTATAAGTTATCTGAAGCTTAGCATCAGCATAGCTCAAACATCTTAGCCACCATTCCACTTGTTGCTAAGTTATTTTAAAACTTACACACATGAACTAAAAGTTAGGTTATATTATGAACAAATTGTATAAAACTTACCGCTAAACTGATCATCATCACTCTCTGTCCTGGTCATTGCTAATTGTAGCAATTTTTTAGCTCTAGAACTCATTACAGATACTTGTTTAACGATACTTTTAATAATTATTTAAGCTTCGTCTGTGACCACTACGCTGAGCGTTCAAAGCGCAACTGGCACAAAACACGAATAAACAACATTCAAGTAAAAAATTTCAGAGTCGTACTGGAACATTTCGAAATATTCCATTAATGAACTATGGATGCGCTTACGAATTTTGGGTGGCAGCGGCACATTTCAAAATAAACTGATACTGAAAACGAAGATATTAATAAAATCAAATTTTCTTTAACGGAATAAATAGTTTTTTGTCAATTAGAACTACAATTTGAGTTGTACCGTTAGTGATTTGGATAAATTATTAAATTCCTTACCATTTTACATACTTATCTCAAAACACGTGATTTTTGAAATGTTCAGGTAATGAATCCGACCGACGATATATAAACAAACAGAAAACATCAGAATATAACAAAATAATAATACGATGATAACAGAATTTTGAATAGAAAAAAAATCTAATAAACAAAATAATAATATTAATTTGCGCGTGCTCATGCCAAAAGGGCCTCCACCTCAGCATTTAGTTGGACGTTTCTGCCCAACGCTGGTTTTCAGGTGGCACCCTGCAGTGACTCACGGACGGCGGTATCGCCCCTCAATGAGGACAGAAAATAAACCTGAAATTATATAAATAATATAAATTTTACTGAATATGTGTGTATGTGTTGTGGAAAATCTCCTGCCCTGTATTCTGATTAACATGCAGATGCAGACGGTGAGAAAGCTGTTAATCGGATTCATAGATATACATGGAATTTTAACTTTCTAATATAGGTTTTGATACTAAATTAGGTTAGGATAATAATAAGAATTTATGTTTGATACATTGATTGAACATCAAAGATCTACTCATTTACGCGCATATATGAATACTCTTAAAACAATTTCCATGGAAACATTAGTCTATATTTTGTTTGCTTTTGTATTTTTGGTTGTGTTTCTTGAGGAATATTGATTAGTTTAGTTTAGATCCTGATGACTTTTCAAATGTTTCATTGACATTTTCGAATACCAGCCACCTGTAAAAAAAATTTGAGGAAACATAATTATGCTGATTTCTATTGGATATAAACTTTGGAACTTTGATTTTTATTTCCTCTCACAACTGTTTATCAACTTCAGCACGGCTTGGCATAGTATGTCTGACCGAAAACAAAGCATTCGTATTTTTTCAAGAATGTTAAAGCAGTAATCTCAAACAAGCAAGGAGATTATAAAAAACCAACAAAATAAGTCCCCAGTTCAGCATTGGACAATCACCAGTTTTTCAAGTTGAAAGAATCAGACATTCAAGACTTCATAGCCAAACGAAGCTTACTTTCCTGTTTTTATTTATTTAGTATTTTTGTTTTCTAACGAGGCCTGCCCGTGTGTTGGATCAATTTGTGTTTGTCATTGTCATTACTGTTCTGGATAGTAGTTCAAGTGACACAATTCTGAAATGATCAAATCACATAGTTCTGAAATGAACAATGAATACATTAGTCTATTTATTTAAACTTCACTATTATGATGAAAAATTGACAACAATCGTATGCTTTTTTTCTTCCCCTTGTCAATCGTCAGCTGCAAAGTCACACTGTCAAGCTTGCTGTTAAAGTGTTATTGTTATGTGTCACCGTGTCTTTTATTGCCAACTCTCAAAAATGTTTATCCCTATTGTAAAGCTTTTACCAAAAACCCCTCGCCCTAGTAATTCGGTTGTCCTAGGGGGACAACCATATTACTAAGGCGATATTTCTAGAATAACATAATATTGTTGACGAATAAAATAATAATGAAGACATATTATGTCTTTGATACTGGTGTCTAGATATCAGAACAGAAAGGACAAAATTAAAACGTAGGGGAGAGGGGGGCAGCTTAGAACATTTTTTATACTTTAATCCAGAACTTCAAGATTTCTATAATTTTCTTGATTTTTTCTTTTTTTATAGCGGCCATGGTTATTAGGCAACTAAATTGTTATGTCCTTTTTAATCATTTAAAAACGTATAATTAGATATTTTAAATTTTGTACGGGCGTGTAAATGTTCAAATGTGCCCCGTATGCGGGGCAGCCTTGAACACACCTGGGGCAGCTTTGAATCAAGCTTAAAATTAAAGAAATGCTGCATTTTTGAAGCGTTTATTTTGTTAAATAATTAATAAACAAGTATTTTATATTGAAATATAACTTTAAAATCAAAATAAAAAACACACTTGGTACAAAAGCTTACTAACGCAGCTTGCATAAGTTAAATTATAAAAATATTAACTAAGAACTTATAAAATGTATCAAACAAAACAGAATTCTTTATAACTAAATTATAACATTCATTATTTATTTGCTTAAACAATACACTTATTTAATATGAGATCTGAAATTATTTGGTCTAACCAAACAAAAGAAAACTAAAATAAACTTCAAAAAACGCGATGTTATCAATAATTACAAACCTAAATTAAACCTTTTGAAATTAAATTTAAATTTCAGCATTGCTGCAGTGCGTGATGTACCAGCAGCATCATCCGGTGGTGGCAATATTGCCAAAATATCTGTCGTGCTGACATAGGAACTGTCTTGCTTTTCAGGAAAGAAAAATTTATACAACCCTCCTTTCTTTTTAAGAAATGTTATAAGGAAACCACTACCGTCCTTTTCTAAAACTTTGCCAACGAAAGCTAATTTTCTATTGGCATTTTTTTCTGATGAAATTTCCGCTAAAACAAAACTATTAACAGTTATAGCATTGTAGTCAAATTCTTTTTCATTGTGATCTCTTTGACAATCATCATCATTTTCGCTTTCGGAATTCCATTCTGTAACCTCTTCTTCTGATTCTAAATTGACTTCTGTATCTGTTTCTGATTCGGAGGAAAAATTTAAAGCAAGCTTAGCTCTTTTCAGTTTTGAAGGTTTTTGATTAGGACGCGAGGAAACACTTTTAGTTGGTTTCGGTTTGACGCGTTTAGTGCCTTACCTTTGCGCGTTTGCAGGCCTTTTCTAGCCGTGCTTGACGTTCAAGGTAAGCCTTCTGTACTTCTTCTTTTTCTGGTGTATCTGTCAATATACGCGATCTTCCTTTCTTCCTACCTTTGCTCGTTAGTTTGCGAGGCGGAGCTCTAGGAAAGGGTCTCACACTTTCAGGTGTTATAATGGTTTGCTTAGTAGAATTAGCATTGGTAGAATCGGGTACAACTGAAGGTGGCAGCATAGTAGGATAATTCAGTGGATTTACTGTTGCTGTAACTGATACATCAGCAACTGGTATCGGAGCTACAATAGGAGTTGTAGTTGGTATTACTGAAACTGGTCCAGGGCAAGAATCTGATGTTTTCGACTTATCGAGAGAAAGTACAGTTGGAAAGCCGCGAGAGTCACTTGGAAAATCCTGAACCGCAGAACTCATATTAGGAGCAACAGGTAAAACTTGGGGCTGTCTGACATCACAGTCAAAATTTTCTTCCTGGTTAGAATCTTCACAATCTGTCAGGTCTTCATCTACTATTGGTACTGAAGAAAGATCTTGAGAACGATTGAGAACGACATCATGATTAGTTACTAATGACGGGGATAATGGGCGATTGGTTACCTCGGCACATTCAAAATCTTCTTCGGTGAAAGCATTTCTTGAAAATGGATAAATACCCGGCCGTTCAAAGCCCGAAATAATGTTGCGTGCCGTGTATGATGCATTATATGCTGGTGTCACTATACCAGGCAAATCATGGATTGATATTGTTTTTCCTGGCCTATTCAGAAGCCAATCATTTTGGGCCACAGCTAGTTTTTGTTTGAACGGACCATTCACTGCCACATCTAAATATAGGTTTTGCTACTAAATTAGGTTAGGATAATAATAAGGAATTTTATATTTGATACATTGATTGAACATCAAAGATCTATTCATTTTCATACTCTTGAAATAATTTCCATGGAAACATTAGTCCATATTTTGTTTGCTTTTGTATCTTTGGTTGTGTTTCTTGAGGAACGTCAAGTAATTACTTGAGGATGGTTAGCGTGGAATAATGGCAACACCGGTGGAGTAATCGTAAATCGCCCGCGGTGTCCAGGATTTATTAGCAAATAAGAATTATTTTAGTGTCTTATATAAATATATTTGTAACACAGTAGAAAAAAGTTAGCAATTTATATGTATTATTATGTATGATTAAATTAGTTATAAGACTTGTAATAAACGTTAAATATCAACAAACTTTAAGTATTTAGATGGGTACATAAAAAGTGTGCCTATCTGAATACTTGGAGTTTGGATAATTAAATGTAATTAGAAGTATGTAGTAATGATTATTCATGTAATTGTAGTAGTAATGTTTAACTTGTTATTTTTTGTATTCAATTTCCTAATTATTTATGTATTGACTGAAAGACTTGAATCTATGGACATCAATAAAATTATTTAAAAAAAATAGACCATTTTTATTTGTTGTTGATTAGCAGTTATATTCACAAAATTTTCTAGAATTAATAATAACTATTATACAATTAAATATATACAATACAAGATAAAAATTAATATATACAACTTAAAATATATATAAAAAACAAATTTAAAACTAAAATATTTACACCTTAATAAAATAATAAAAATAAAAATAAATCATAAGGCATCAAAGAAAACATTTTCCTCATCGCTACCGTGAGGTAGGGTGCCCAAAAGACTGGCAGCATTGCCACGTTGAATGGCAATGCTTAACCTTTGCCCAAGGTAGTAGCCAGCCCTTCGATCACCTGAAGTGTCAACCATCCTCCTTACAATATCTTTGTAAAGAAGATGTGCACTTGGGCCCCACGGCCCTAAAGTTTCAACCCCAAACGGTTCGAAAGCATAATTGCCAATCAGGCTATTATACTTTCGCCGTTTGAGGTTCTCGGCAGCAGCAGCGGCAGCACCGGCTCGACACGCTGAGCTTGGAAGATGGGATGGCGCCAGAGTATCAACGCAAGTGGCGTCCCATACTAAAGCCCTACCCATCTTCCAAGGGAATAATGACATACCGTCGGGTCTCTTGCCATCGTCGCGTACCAAGCCATTAGGTTCTAAAGTAGCTGGCACGCCAACGGAGGCAAGAGCTCGACGAATTATGTCATTAATACTTGCGTGTCGAGCAAAACGGCCCGCACTACGGCTACATGACAAGCCGTGGTGTCCAAGGCTGTTGACATCTTCACCACAACGACAACGATGAGGTGAACAAAATGAAGCTCCAAGCCTTAAACAAATTGCAGCGCGGAACGTGGTGTCGTCCAACAAAGTACCTAGGTTAGACGAAGGTAAAGCAAGAAGCCATAACCCCGACTCCCACTCACCCACAGCCAAAAGGCGAGCTCTCTCTGCAGTTGAACAAGAGGAGTTCAAGAGATTTTCGCTCACTTTTCTGCAGAGCGGCTCGTCCCA